AAACAATTCATCTTACCGTCTCTTTCTCATAAAATTTGAGGGGCTCTCTTATAGACATGTTACTTGGGTCCCCGAACGTTGGATAAATAACGTGAATTCTTTCATGGTTCGGGGGTTTCTAAAACGATATCCAGATGATCCTCCAAGAATGGAGGAGGCTTTACCAGAGGAGTGGACAAAGGTTGACCGGGTTCTGGATGTCGAATTTAAGAATGGGAAAACATTGTATAGTGTTACTTTCACGAAGATGGATGTGGATTTTCACAGTGTTAAGGAGGTCAAGAAAGCTTTTATTAAATGGCAAGGGTTACATTATGATGAGGGTAAGGTGTGGGCTACGAGTGAGTTTAAGATTTGGCATGCATCTCTGGAATTAATTTCATTTGTTCTAATTATTTTAATTAATACACTTCAGCGTGCTGGGAAGAATCTATTGATACAAAAAAAGACTTGGACTTCCGTAATGCATACAAAGCCCGACTCGAGAACATGAAGATAAAATTTCCCATAATTCCTCCTACTATACGCAAGAATAGATCGAGAGCGAGACAGCAATTTATTGAATTCAAACAGCAACCGCCGTATATCCCTTATACTCTTATGGACTATCAACTCGAAGGTGTCAACTGGCTTCTTTACCAATACCAGAACCAATCCTCTTGTTTGCTCGCTGATGACATGGGCCTTGGGAAAACCATTCAAGTGATATCATTTCTATCTATCCTACACAGAGAACATGGTGTATTTCCTAGTCTTATTGTAGTACCTAAATCGACAGCCATCAATTGGGTAAGGGAATTCAAGAAATGGAGTCCAATGTTGCATGTCGTTGAGTATCACGGTGAGGCAACGTCGAGGCAAATGATCGAAAAATATGAGCTGTTCCCAAGAGGGGACAAAAGTTTGGCTTGTCATGTTGTTGTAACTACTTACGAAACAATGATGGGCTTTCCGGGAGTGTTTGCTCGCGTGCCATTATGGCAAGTGCTGGTTGTTGATGAGGCACATAGGTTGAAAGGCGGAAGTACTAGTCTGCTGTTTGCGACACTGAAGAAGAAAATTAAATTGAAGCATCGAGTACTTCTTACCGGTGAGATGCTGGAACGATTAATTGGTGTTCGGATGTTGGATACTGTTATACAGCTAAATACTGATTGTGTTGTTGTATCTCTTGGAATCAGGTACGCCCTTGCAGAACAACATTGAAGAGCTGTTCAATTTGATGAATTTTCTTGGACTGGAGGACTTTGAAGACCCAAAAGAGATGGCTGAGGCGTATGGAGATTTGAATAAAGAGCAATTGGAACAGTTACATGTAAAATTAAAGCCTTATTTTTTGCGGCGTAGTCGTGAACAAGTCCTAGGGTTTTTACCTCCAAAGGTAGTATTTGCCATAAGTGGTGATAGTAGTCAATATTTGGGATGCTTGTATTATATATACGTATTATTTATCAACCAATTTCTTTTAAAATGAGACATTAATTCATATTGATATATATTTCCCTACTTAACGCTTTCTTAAACAGGCCGAAATAATAGTTCCTGTGCAAATGACATCCCTTCAAAAGAAGCTGTGCAAAGAAATTCTAGCAAAGAACGTAACACTTCTTCAGAGCATTCTGAAAAAAACTCAACTTGGCGCTGGTCGTCGGATGTCTCTTCATAATATTCTCGTTGAACTGCGTAAAGTTCTTTGTCATCCGTATTTAATACATGGAATCGAAGACACCGATATTGAGGATGAGGATATTGTACATAAAAATTTAATCGAAGCTAGCGGGAAGTTAATGCTACTGCAGAAAATGCTACTGAAGTTAAAAGAACGCGGGCATAAAGTGTTAATATTTTCGCAGTACAAAATGACTTTGGATGTGATTGAAGATTTTTTGGTAGCAGAAGGCTGGGAATACGTTAGGCTTGTACGTATTGTGCTACAACCAAAAAGACTTGACTAATATTAAGTCAATTAGCAATATACATTAATGTTGGTAGATTAAATGCCTTTTATGAATATTTAGGATGGTGATACTAGCGGAGATGAGCGTCAGGAAATGATTGACGAATTCCAAGCTCCAGGCTCAGATAAATTCGTATTTCTATTGACAACGCGGGCTGGAGGTGTTGGATTAAACTTGAGTAAGTAAGAAGCGTCGGTATTAGTTGAGTGAAATGACAAATTAAATCATCTTTGCTACAACTTTCGACTGTTATACCGTAATAGCCGCGGCAGATACTGTCTTTATATATGATCCTGACTACAATCCTCATATGGATATGCAAGCATTGAGTCGCGTGTATAGAATAGGGCAGGAAAAGGTCTTAGTTTACATTATCTTTTGGACATGTTATTTACAGGAAAATGTAGGAAATACTAAAATTATTGATAAATCTATAGAAAGTTCTTGTATTTAGGTTTGTAACCAGAGCGTCAGCGGAAGGTAGGCTTAAACAACTTGTGTGTTTAATGTTCCACAACAAGGTGTATATGCAGATTTTAACACATTTCGGCTATCAATTCATCATAATAGAACGCATAGTCCAAATTGGTAAACGAAAATTAGTCCTCGATCATTTGATAGTCGAAAAAATGGAAGAAGAAAACCTTGGGGCGAATGATGTCGAGAGCATAATCCGTTTTGGTGCTGAATCCCTGTTCAAAGATGAAGCAGACGAAACGCCGTTGAAATATGATGATAAAGACATCGACAAACTGCTTGATCGCAGTCATCTGGTAAAGGAGATTAATAACCAAGAGGAAACAAAGAATCTCAACGGACTTGCATTTGCCAGGATATGGGATACAGATAAGAAAGACTATGCTGAATTTGTAGATGATGAACAAGAAGGTCAGAGTGAGGATATATGGGAAAAATTGTTGGAAGAGAGATTAGCTCATGCTACTGTTCAGGAGTCCACTCCGAAGGGACGAGGGAAAAGAAAGAGAACGAAAGTGGTATGTTGTCTATGTAAAATATCATTATTGGATATTATTATACGACTGATTTTGCTTCTCAAAAACGAATAGATCAATTATTATGAACAAGACGTTGATCAATCGCCGTCAGCCAAAAGACGCCGAAAAAAGGAGAAGGAACGAGCAAAAGAAATTGATGACGAGTTTGTTCCTAATGCTGAAGATACTGATATCTCTAGTTCACTTGGAAGTGACGCAGACTTGGTCACTGAACATCTTCCGGCTATTGACCTCACTGATACCGACAAAGAAAACTCTCCCGCACGCCCAGAACATGCTACACCAGAAATGGTTAATCTCCATACGTATAATAATCAACCAACACAAATGTACCGAGGTCAAGCAATGATGAATCAACAACAACATATTAATCAAGAAGACCACGACCAACAACAGTTAGCCCAAGCACAATTGAGGGCTGTAGTAGAAGCCCAGGTTGCTAGAGCCCAAGCCCAAGCCCAGCTTCAAGCCGCTCAAATGACCGCTGCTCAAGTTCAGGCTGCACGATTACAAGCTGCCCAGCTTCAATATTATTATCCAAATAATCAACAAAGTGCTGCTTGGATAGAATATCAGCGCCAATACACCCAACGTCTTGTTGAAATTTATGAAGAGCGTCACCGCCGTGCAGTTATGCAACAGTCTCCACCTGGGATACAACAACTCGTGGTTTCTCCCACTTCTTTTCCAAGTGCACTACAGTCATCACTTGAGAGCGGGCAAGAGCAGTCATCATTAACTCCTACTACCTCTCCTCAAAACACATCTGGTAGTGAACAAGAACGATTTTCACAGATTTCCTTCATCCCTTCTCAAAATGCCTCTTCGTCTGAAAAGGAACAAGAACAAACCTTACCAACTTCTTCTCAAAGTGCTTCGCTATCTGAGAAGAGACAAGAGCAAACCTCATCAACCCCTTTTCAAAGTTCACTCTCGCCATCTTCATCTGGAAACAACCGAGAGAAAGCCTCACCAATTTCGCTCTTTCCTTCTCAAACTACGCTTCCGTCATCTCCATCCGAGAAACGACAAGAGCAGTCTTCTTCAGTCTCTTCAGAGAGTATTCTTCAATCGTTACCATCCGGGAATGATCAGGATCAATCCTCGCCGAGTCCTTCTCAACAGTCGACTCAAACTGAAAAGATGCAAGAGCAGACCTTTCCCATCTCTTCTCGAAATACGCTTCAGTCATCCGAAAAGAAACAAGATCAGCCTTCTTCAGTCTCTCCTGATAGTATACTTCAATCGCTACCATCTGGGAATGATCATGATCAATCCTCGCCGAGTACTTCTCAACAGTTTCCTGTCTCTTCTCAAACTACGTTTCATTCATCTGAAAAGGGACAAGACTCTTCTGATAGTATACTTCAATCGTTACCATCCAGGAATGATCAAGATCAATCCTCTCCGAGTCCTTCTCAACAGTCAACTCAAACTGAAAAGATACAAGAACTCATGTCTTCTCAAACTACGCTTCAATCATCTGAAAAGAGACAAGAGCAGTCTTCTTCAGTCTCTTCTGATAGTATACTTCAATCGTTACCATCTGGGAATGATCATGATCAATCCTCGCCGAGTCTTCAAGTGTCAATCCAAGCTGAAAAAATACAAGAACAAACTTTCCCCACCTCTCCTCAAAATACACCACAGCCTTTTACACCAGAGAATAGGCAAGAGCAATCCTCCCCAACTTCGTCCTCTCCACAACAAGTAACAGAACCTTCATTACTTCCGGACTCTCCACCTCATCACGAAGTCCACGTTCTTATCCAGCAAACTCCTCCTCCTCAAGTAACACTAATAACGCCCCCACCATTGCGTCACACACGACGTTCAGCGAGGCAAAGGGAGATTGATGAGCTGCTGGCGTTCATCGAAGCTATACAGCAGAGTGATGAACCTATTAAAAGACGAAAACGTGCAATGGAAGCAATATATTCTAAACTACAAGAATTGAGTTATGACGTGGATGATTACTTTAAAGGTCGTCTGGAAAACCATGACATCGATCCTGCCATCATACCTTCTCAGGTTTTAGTCAAAAATAAAAGGACGACTCGGAATAATGGGAGGGGGAATACCAATATTGCAAAAGCCGTACGATAGAATGTACAGAAAAATAGACAAACAAGGTGGTAATAGTAACTTTAGCAGCATGTGATCATAAGAAACAATAATTATAGAAAATCGGTTAATGGTGAGATATTTTTCTAATAATTTGTAAGAAAGCGTTCGTTGTGATAGCAGTTATTAACTAGAAGAGTATTCAATTTTCTGCAAAGATAACGGCGACAATTAAATAATAATAAATGTCTTTGCTATAAATCATTGCATAAACGACTTTTTTTCAAATCCTATACGCGTCAATTTATTTTTTCTGCAACCTGCTTCATGTTCGGAATCCACTCAGTTGTCTCGATCTAAACTGGGATGGGTTCCTCCAAATTAGGAGGTTGACTAATTTTAGGGTACGCTCCTAATATGTTATTTATATTTACAAATGAGTGAAAAATTGTGCAGAACAATTGACCACCTGTATAAATTCCTTTTTACCCTAATATATTTATTATTGTAAAGTATGGCACCTGCTATTCCCACATGGCCGCGTTGTCAGAAGACGTACTCGGAAATAATAACAAACATGCATATTGTCATACAGTAAATTACCCACATGGCTTCAACTTCTTGGTAAAATTTTCTATATTTATTTTTTTACTCTCCCCTTGCGTATTATCTCTTGATCAAGCGAGAGTTATGAAGATTGAATTCTAATATGTACTGCTTTTCATCAATTCATATTTTACATTTTTTGTATCTTTTTTTTTTGTTCCTTAACCAAAAACAGGTTAAGGAATATGAGAAGAACACTAAAATAAAAGCAAAAGAAATAAGGAAAAACGTTGTATATACAGAAAAAAAAGCCAACGAACGAAAGACTAGCAATCCATCGTTAAACTTAATTATCACAAAACGAAGTTAAAAATAAATATTTAAACTATAAACAAAATTGCATCGAAGTCGAAATGTAAAAAGCGTAATCTTATATGTACATTTTCATGTTTCAAAAAGAAACAACTTATGATAATTGATTATGATGATTCTTGGATTAGTCGAATATAAAGGAAAATAGTTCATGTTTGATTAAAATGGCGAAAAAAGCTTATCTAACGAACGAGAAATAAGAAAAGGTGAACGAAAATTGTTTGCGATAGTCATAATTGCAAAAATTTGCCAGTGTTCATCAACGTTACTATTACGCAATCAAAGAAGGAAGAAAAGGAAAAAAAGGGAAAAAAAAAAAGAGAAGACTTATAAAATCGAGGTATTAGAACCGTATTCTCTAACAACCGAAAACATACACTTCTTGACCGCAACTCAATTGCAGAAGCCAACCATCTCTGAACATCATCTTCATCCATCACTCTCATCATGTCCTTCACTCGCATTGCTCTCCTGATCGACCTCCATCACAGTATCCTCATCGTTAGCTCTATGCACTTCAATCTCTTTCTCGCTATTAGACTCTTGAGAAACAACATTGACAGATGATTTGGGTTTCTTAATGGCAGCAAGTTCTTCTCGAAGTTGGCGGATGGTCTCGTCCTTATCTATGACTTTGCTGTGAAGTTCTACAATGTAATCATGAGCTGGGCGATGTGATTGAGTTGGGTTTAGAAATTAGTTATATATATCGTACGATTTGCTCAATTTCTCTGTTATTATTTCTATCCCCTTCTGCTCTTTATGATTCTCCTTGCATTATTTCGCACAAAACTCACCTTTTTTCAGCAAAAACAGCTTGCTGACGTTCTTTGAAGAACCATCACCCTTTCCATTACCCGGGTCTGCCTTGGCTCCATTACCTAGAGACGATGTGTAAGGAACAACCTTTTTCAACTCATCAAAGGACTGTTTAAGAGAGTCACGGCGTTTTTGTTCGGCAGCTTTATGTGTAGTGCGGCGTGATTCTAGAGATAATTGCAAGTCTGAGGGATAGCTTATTCCAAGGGATCTGAAAAAAAAAATAACAATGTTAGTGTAAAAGAAAAGTTTGTACATTTTTTCCTTTTTTCTCTCTTCTCTTTCCTATTACATGTAAACACATCCTATACGTACTGGGCAGTCCCCTCCAAAATGGCCTGATAATTGGATGTCTGTGCCAACTGCTCTGCAATTTTATCGGAAACACCGGAAACCTTTGGTTTCAAATTAGGGCTGACTGTCTTCATCGATTGTGGACTCTTGGGACCCAAAGCGACCGGAGAACCTCTTATGACGTGAACGTTACCTAAATTAGACACGTTGATCCCTGACATATTGCTCGTAGGAGACATTGCAACGGATGGAGCAAGAGCGGGTGAGATTATTCCAGATGGAATTACTATAACAGGTTGTCCATTTATGGATGTTGTGTTGGCGGACGACGCGTGGACTACAAGTGCTGGCTGTTGGACGTATACTTGTGATTGTTTCTGCGTTGGAGACGAAGATTGAGCAGGTTGTATGGCTTGCTGATTTGATGATTGGACTGGTGAGCGAGTGGCGTTCGCTTGATTAGACGACGTTGTCGTTGTAACACTGTTATTATTACCACTGCCTGCATTTGTTCCGTTCTTTTGTTTATTTCCTTTATTCTTTCCATCTGAAATTCCTTTGGGTGACACTACACCAGCTGAGCCGTTTCCTTCATTATTACCGCTTTCAGCTCTCCCACTTCTCAATTTCATTATAGTCGCTGGGGTAATTGGATCAACTTTTTCCCCGACATTGCTCACGCTCGGCCCATCCGCTATTCTTGGCCCAACAAGTTGGGATAGATCAAAGGATGATACAAGATTGTCACCGAGATTTAGAGTAGGCATCTGATCAGAATGGATCAATGAACTATCTTGAGAGCGAACTGATGTAGGCGTAGAAGCTATTGGCGATGATGAAGAGGAAGATGAGACGGAGCGGGAAGATGCAATTGCGCGAAATTGAGGAGAGGTATTCTGCGCTGACTGAGAGGATACAGCAGCAACTGATGGAATTTGAATGGTGGACGAAAGAGGAAGATATTGTTGAACTTGTGAGCCAGGATTGCGATCTTGCTCACGTCCTTGATGCATCTCTAGTTCCTGCATCTGACTGTTATCTCTCATATTGATCTGCCTATCGATCTGCATATCAGTTTGGCCAACAACGTTTAACCCAACTCGTCGTCTTTTACCATCGTGTCCGTCTTGCGACGTTCGCTTTGTTCCCCTCCCTGCCAATGCAGCAGGTCGGTCGGTAGACCCGTTGTTATCTTTAGCCAAATTATATCTGTAATTAGAGCGAGCAGTAGAGATTGATCTCGCATTATTTTTCTGCGGGCCCTGATGGATGGCTGTTGGTTGGACTGTGTGGTTGAGACTTGCAGGTGCGATATCTGAAGACAATGAATATTGTTCATCTGGAAGTAAAGTTGGTGAACTATGTGGGGAGAGGTAGTGTGCATAATCTGCGTAAGTTGGTGAAGAAGTGTTGAGAACGTTGGAACCGGAGCTTTTGAGAAAAAACTATGATGCCAGACATTGAGAAACAGGGAATATTAAAATATATGTTAGTAAATCGTTGTATTAGACGTTATCTTGTGTAGATCACGTGCATAACATTGTGCAAAATTTTGATATCCAATTAAAATTAAGAAAAGAATATCTGATCACTTAACATGTGAAATCTCAACCCGTTATATAAACTGTTTAAACGGACTAATTCTGGCTAGGAATTTTAAACGGAAACATTCTGCAACGGTCGAATATCCTCATGACGATTCTGAAACCAAAAGTTCTAATAACCATCCGATATAAAAGACCTCTGAATATACGAGACGTGTATTTTCTTGACTAACATTGGAACTTTAGGAAAGGGGGGGATGTTCTAGTATAATATTATATTATTTCATATGTAGACAACGTTGATGTAGTTGATCTCTAGTTGGCTCCAAAGCAGTTCCGGATTCCATTCTTTACACCACATTCGCCTTCACCCAAATTCGAATAGCTATCAACTTACCCCATCTTCCGTAAATTCTGAGCCGTCTAGATTGAATGCATCGTTTGTCATTAGAGAATAATCCCCCACAATTATCCCATCATGTCCCTCGGGCGTAGGCAGCATGCCCCTATTCACTCCATACGTATCATGTACACTTATGTCATAATGTGGATGGATCATGTTCCCATGAGAGACGTTTACGTGTGTAGGCACTTGTTGAGAGACATGGTGTCCACCAATATGGCTCTCAACGTGCCCATTAACACTCGTGTTGTTCGTATTTGTGTGTTGCGTATTGTTCGCAGTCTCATGTCCGTGACGTTCATGACCGTTGATCTGCTGTGTATAGGTGATTGCTGATGTATCCATTCCATGCTGTTGAGATGGCGAACTTGGATCGAGGATATAATCATCATAGTAGCTAATGACATCGTATCGGAGATCCATGTCGTTATTTGAAATCGAAGATATGATGTTTGGATATGTTTCCATTGTAATTGACGTAAATTCAAAAATAGGTGTTGTAAAAGATGTGATTTAGGATATTCGTATTAGAAAAGTTATTTGAGACGTAGAATGTTAGAGTGAACAAGGACGTACTGTGCTAGTTGTGTTTCAATAAACAGAAGTGCAGAGTTTGATGATGTAACCGAATCTATACAAAAAACTGGATTGATAGCGTATTTTGACACTTGTGAGACGAAACAACTTAAGTTTTGATGTGGAGAGGGAATTATGCGACAATACAAGAACGATGTTATAGATTCGTAAACTCTGATTATGTGTTCTAACTCATCAGAGACTGTTTTGATTTGGGGATTTGTGGGGTTAAAGTGGTTAGTTCAAGCGTTCAAAAAGTTCGATTTTATATACATAAATAATGCAATGGCTCGTCATCCAATAACATACAGAAAAATAATCGTTCGGACTCATGGAATCATACCATTGGCTACCATTGTAATTTGACGATTGGGAGTACAGATAGTATGAAAGGGATTGTGGACAAAATGCGTCAAGCGAGTAGCAAGCGTTTTTTCTTGTTCGTTTCAAACAATGCTGTCAGCCCTCACTTGTAGACATTGGCTGCATCATTATTAGCGGCGGGGCTTATCGATATTTGGAAGAGAGTAAGAGAAATAGAGGAGAGTGTAAGAAGAGGAGAGAGAGTCATTATTAACACAGTCTTTTACAGTTATTTGAGGTTATTGTAAATAACATTATTTATGTGTGCAACAAGTTGACAATAGGACAAGTAACAATAACAATCGAGTAATGTAATTATAAAATAAATAAATATACATATAATTTATACTGTACAACTTAAATTCATACTTACCTTTTTGTACAGTCAAACTCTAATAACGTTAATACTATAAATATATAACATCACTGTGATACATATTCATCTGTGATGATTTTGATTATGTTCATTCTGTGATTGATCTTACAGATGCCGTCATTATACATCTGATGCTTAGGTATTATCAGCGATTCTATGCACAATCTACATCATTACCATGATGAAGATGGGACTATTAAGTAAACTAATGGTGCGGGTAGTGATATTTTTGACTGTCAAATATGTATCCATATAAATCCCATTCTATATTCTATTGTCGTTATCGTTTCTGTCATATCTAATCGATCGACCCATCAATTCCTAATTAAGCAGAATCAACTACTCGTGGCTGTATAATATTGCTATTGTATGTTTGCTTGTTTGCTTGTTTGCTTGCTATATTATTTGCGCCAAGCAAAGATAGACATCGGGGACAGTAAGGATAGACATCTTGACATTAACATCATCCTCCCATCCCCTTTCCCTCACGCTTACTAAAACATGTTAAAATACTCAACTCTCTTTGATGTACATTAGTTACACAACGAAAACATCAAAGCGGAGATATATGTTGTACTCCCAAACAGAGCAAAACTGGTCTCGCAGCAATCAAGTGAAACACAGACAATGGTAACTCAAAAGCAAAATGCGTGGGGTAATGGTTGGATGTAATTGTTTGAGTTGAACGATGGGTGATATCAACGTGTGATAACATTTTGCAATACACACGTATAACTGTCGTATATGTTTACATTCAATTTATCCTCCGATTTGCTAAATTTTAATGACTGTCGCTCCCTTTCATAACATAAAGAACGCTCTCCTATCGTTCTCACTCCATCCGATCGATAAGACGAGACGATTATGTAAAGACTTGGTGTATATATAATCACAATATATAAATGAGTAGTATTATCGCACACAACGTATATGAATATGCGATGACATGCGCTGAATATGCGATGAATATGCGGCACACAACGTGCATGGATATGCTCTTTGTATACATCAGGGTATGCGTATGTAGCATATACGACTACCCGTCTATACTCGTTTTGGTTTATGTCACCCGTCAAATAAACTGTATCTATATTTATGTCACAGATTTCGCATTGCCTGGCGTAAGTAACGCGATCTGCGCGATCACAACAAACAAACTCAACCATCTAAAATCAGAATACGCATATAAACAGGTGTACACAAGATAGATAGATTGACCGCTATATTATCACATTACGAGTAAATCACAGTAACTTGAATACTAATATTTGGAAAAAGCACACGCACAAACCACCCTTACGTAACATATATGTTTGTTTATCTTTACTATAACTGGACCGGAGACGGTTTACTTTGGCAAGTGAAACAGGCTCTGAATACTTGAAATTGTCTCTTTTGGAATGACGTCATGTAAACAATTTTCGGGCTGTCAATTAGGATCTACCATGATGTTGTTTTTTCTGTCACCATGTCACTGTCAGCTCTATTTTGCAAACCTTTCATGATGCATCTTTTACTAAGATATGTTTGCTAACATATAAGGCTATTTTGTCACTTCTGATTGGCTATTACACTTATATGGCATACTAATACGTTGAAATACTTTTATCAAGTTCTTACCAATTTAAGGTAATCAGAGAGTATTACAAATTATGGTTTAGATTTAGACAATCTGCAAGGCTAGCCAAAAAATACTTTTTCGTGATTGAAACTCAAAGCTGTTTAAACCGGCGCTGGTCTCGGGTTTAACCGACTACCTCACGTCTGTCCCCGATTTGCATTAGTTAGAAATTCTTTCTACCTAAGCATTTATATGAAACGGTTTTTGGTTAAGCCGGCCAAAAACCAACAAACCAGGTCCGCCAGTTTAAACAGGTTTGACCTGTAGTCAGGTGACAATCGAATAGTACAGTTTGCGAACCATGCGATTTAATCAGAAAGAAATTACATTCATGGATGATGGTCTACATTTACAAACATTAAATAAATTATTGCTTTTATTTAAAGAGGATAAATATAATGCTGCATTTAGCAAAGTTCTTGTCCTCGTTCAAATCGTACCCGTGAATCAGGATAGTTTTAAAAGTCTAGTAAAAAAAGAGCAAGTTTGTTTCACGAAAAGAAGAGACAAATTAAACAATATTTACGAAGGCGTTTACTGTATATACAAAAAAAAGAGCCGTTAAATTTAAATGCGAAAAGATGTAAGACTTTCTTTATGGTTTCCGGACTAAAGGTAATAATTATTAATTATCTGTACCGTCCTAGCACTAATTCTAGTATTACCAAAAACTTGCAATTCTGGTTGAGACCCGGGAAATTGTGTGGGGAGAAGGGTTTTATTCTGGGGGTGGTGGGGTAGCAATACATATTGTTATATTAGTATTAGATATCTAAATTTTGCGCCTTTAGCATTCTCTTCAACGCATACGCGCGGAAATAAAGATTATATGCTCATACATTGTCAATGAAACGCGCGAAAAAGTGGTACATAAACGCGTAATAATATTATAAATTGGTTAAGCACACGGATACTTTACGAGAAGGAATTAGTATAACACCTCTATTAAGCAAAGAACCAGTGCTACAGGGTACAGTGTGTTTAAAAAAAATGGTTTGCAAATAAACTTTTTTTTGCTCATAAACAAAAATTGTGATTGCTACAAAACAAACCAATTAGTTATGGTTATTAGCTTTTTATTAGGCGTTGGTTATTCGCCTTCTATTAAGTGTTTTGTACCAGCAAATTTGCTTTACTTATTTTAATTTTTCGAAAAAACTTTAATTTATTGCCAGTTCTGTAAAAGAGCGATTTAGAAGTTTGTCGGTGTAAACCTTACATATGGTTTATTGTGAAAAATAATGTCGAAAAGAATGTCCAAAGATAGGGAGCATTCCAACATTATTTCAAAGTTATCCATATTTGTTATCTGTCGGTGAAATAATTATAGATAAATTGATGTAATTTATTATGAGTAATGGAAAAGACTTCTCAAGAACAGTACAAATATTATTTTGTTAATAAAAAAAAGTAAACTGTTTATACGCAAAATGGTGATAGAATTAGAATAAAATTTTATTTAATAAAGTAGCTCATATTTCTTTATTTCATTATACAGTATTCTGTAATTGCAGAGATATAATTTTTGTTCCCACCTTTTTTGTTTGCAGCTCACTGTATATGGGACTGCCCAATACTAATGATAATAGACCGCTAGTAGTTTTATTTGATTGAATTAAATAATCTGTCTGTATGAAATTATCTCCGTAACAGACACAACGATGCTTTAGTTGACTATATTAATTAACGGTATATGTAAGCCAAATTTGGTTAATAAGAAACGTGCACATGGGACGTTTTTCCAAAAAATTTTGTTACCCGCACGACATCAAATTATTTTAAATTCATCTCTTCTTTTTTTACTTTTTTGTACCAATTGTTCCGGAATGCTGGAGAGGAAGGGGGTTTGTATTCCTGACTATTCACAGTATCAATAATTTAAATTGTCCTTTAAATAAAATATTACTACGGACAAATTAGACATAAAACGAACTGTTATTCGCGTATTAAATGTTAACTGGTCAAAGTCACGATCCAAAGTTTTGGTGTTATTTTATAAATAATGTCATGCTTTAGTTTTCAATTTGTTATACAGCATGTCACATCAGCTGTTGTATAATAACCCAATGTATTAAAGCGAGCCAATTGTTGATTAGGCAGAATACATAGAAGTGCTTAATTGATTATCATTCGATTTGCGAACGATGGAGATTGATGGTTTATGCACGTGTATAAATATAAATGATTAAAAATTCTAAAATAACAAGGACAAAACTCCGTCAAATTTAAAGAAGCTGTTCTATTCCATAATGATGCAATATAAGAAGAAAACTTAAAAAACTCGTTTTGCTAACATCGGCAAAAGTAAAACTTTTGTTCTCGTTCTACCAACTACCAAAAGCCAAAATATTGTTTACGACAAACCATTTTCGGATGCAAAGATAATTTCGAAATAATGTTTTTAAAATGAAATGTACCTGTCGGTGAAATGAATGTCAGCGAAACATTACGTCTGCGAAATGGTTGTCGATGTTATGATTGCCTCCCATGGATTACTCATCAACACGTTGAAAGGCTCTTCTCATTTCTTTATAAATAGAAAGGCGATAAAAAAATGGCGGTTGGACAACCAGCGCATTGTGCTCATTGTTTGGTAAATTTCTTTAAATTCGATTATAGAACATGCATAGCATTTCTGCTTATGTTATTGACAGTCAAGAGAACAGATAGCCATGACGTTATAGTTTCGAAAATCAAGATCATAAAACCCGCAAGCACTGAATCACATGTATTGATTGAAAAATCTAGGAGCTAATATGTCAACGGAAGACATTACATATCACTGGTCTGCTCCTTGCAGACTAGATCTAAAATTACTTCACTTTACGTATCCATCGCGCGCTTAACAAGAAACCGAGATCCACCATAACCGAAAATACAATAATACAAATAATACAAGCCAAATAATAATAATGAAACTTTGTAAACGTGGGATAACTATAATCAACAAAAGTGCAATAGAGCATGACTAATAACTACTTTGTCAATAAAAAAAAGGAAGGGGGAGGGGTGTGCAATTTTTAATGCCTCTAGCAGAATAATTTCCATTTAGTCCTCGGATGATTAGCACATATCTATACACCTTGCTCTCAAGATTGTATCTATCGTACCCCATGTCCTCAATCCTTCTTTCGGTGACCCCCACTATGATGACGCGAATTATAATTTCCACCACCGCGGCCTCCACCACCACGGCCTCCACGACCACCTCTGAACGGACGTCGTCCGCCGCCATAACCGTTTCTATTATTTGGGTAATATCTCTTTGGGTTTACAGTTAGCTCATTGCCTCCTAAACTCTGATGTAAATGAAGAGGGAAAACGCAAGATAGAACAGAGTTAAAAAGAGGATATATAGAGCAATAACACGCTGATGAACAACAGTATTGAACAACCCAGTAGGTACAACCACAACTATCAAAGCCGATGCTTTAACCGGATACCTCGCAAATTTTACTTACCTGTCCATCAAGCTGAAGTGCACGCTCGTATGACTCCTTATCTACGAAATCAACGTACGCAGAGTCTTTCCTTCGTGGATTATTCATGTCCGCAAAAGTGATCTTTTCAACCTTTGAGGACATACAGTATGGAGAAGATAAAGTGGTTAAAATCACAGATATAATAGAATGGTTGTAAATATTTGAAAACTAATCCGAGGAATGAAACAAATCATCTATGCATTACCCCCGCTGCATCACCACCAAAGAATTCTCTTAATTCCTCTTCAGTCGTTTCGGGTGCTATTTTTGCGACGTATACTGTACAACCTCTCTGTTATTTGAATTGGCAAACCAAAAACAGTAGGCACCTAGAGTTAGTGAAGTCGATTCTTTGAAATACCATCTATAATAACTCATCACGTCCTCTTTTCACACACGTTTTCATATCTGTTCCCTTGTCCTTCACGGTTTCCGTAAGAGCTCGATCGTCCTGACTCTGTCCTGTCGTCCTCATCGTGTTGTCCTTGTCCGTCTGTATCCCGGTCATCGTTCCCCTTCATCATACTACCATATCCATCTTCTCTTGCGAGTTCGTTGGTAGTCTGATCAGCCCACGTCTGATGAGTCACATCGTAGGGTGCTGAATCGCCAGGTTTATATTCGCCGAGTGGGTACGATTGTGACTGTGGAAGGGTATATGAAGTATCGTCAGAACCATGCAAATCGAAGCAGGGAGGAGTGGGAGTGGTTGATAGGAATGTTGGTAAGATAAAGTTTCAGATTGTGTTACATAAGGATATGGGTGGTACTTGCCTGCTGTAATAAAGAGTTGGCATTGCTTCCATCTACGCTGCTTTCTACTATAGTTCTCTGTTGTCCGACGTCAACCGAAGATTCAGTCCAAGTAGCAATTCCGACTGACGTTGAGTTTGTGGTGTAGTCAGTAACGTCACCTCTATCGACGTTATCACTCGTATTCGTGTTCCTGGCGTTACTACCAGCACCGGTGGCACTCGCTCCGCCGCTACCCATTGTCAACGGTGAAGACGAACGTAATGGTGATGGATCGCGATTAGCTGAGTGTTGGGGTCGCAACCCAGGAGATGCGGTATTTCGCTGCCAATGAGCTTGACGAGTAAGTACAGGAGACGATGGGTTAGGGCTTGATGGAGTTTGTGGTGTGGCATGAGTCCGCGAATTTGCACCAATTTGACCGTTGGTCCGGCGATAGGTGAAATTGAAACCTTGAGGTGAGACGCATACGAAAGTTCATGAGATACGAGTTAACTACTCAACAGTTGAAAAACATATCAAAGGCCGGTATATATATATATAATTCAACTGTCATACCTTGAGCTTTAGTCTCCGCTGATATTCGGCCGTTGTTGACTTCCAGTAACACGTATCCAAAAGCAGCATCCGACAGATTAAAATTCCACATATTCTTGAATGCCGGCTCTTCCTTGTCTCTATCGGCTGTAGGTACACGGTTAATAACGCCCAAGGCGTTGTCCAACAAATTTTTTTGTGAGGCACTTTAATAGAGTTCACAGATCGATCAATAAAACTGTTATAATAACAGATCAATTTTCAATCATTTCGCAGACTTTAATTAGGGATACTCGGAAAACATACTCAATTTTGGCTTCGACTTGTGACTTAATAGTCTGGTACGTTTCAAAAAATGTTCTTTTCGAGTTTTCTAATTTTGTTCTGAAACTTTCCTGATCACTTTGTACGGAGAACTCGTTATATGAAATTCCATAGCGGAAATGAAGACCAGCTGAGATAGTGAAGTCAGCCTACGAGAGAATAAAAATAATTAAGGTTGAGACAAGCGTACGAGTAAACATTCGTAATAATATTACTGAGCACGGTTAATTGGCAGATAACTATCAACTTCAGATACACTACATGATACTCGTTCCCAACAATAAACTTACCCTAAGCGATATCGCCAATTGGGTTAACAGCCCATATCGTCCGGGACTTGCATGAGTGACTAATACTCTCGTTTCGGTGGGATCATAATTCTTGATGGTTTCAATAATTTACGTGAGCAAGCACACAATATGTACAATTAACTAAAATCAGGCAAAAATGGATGATCAAGTTACCCTTTGGGCAGTGTCGACGAGTTCACCAATTTGCAGGATAGTAGTCCACATAGTACCTGCTCCACCTGCGATCGTACCAATCCCTAAAATATAAAGAAAACAGACGAGTGGATTAGAATAGTGAAAAGAGGTTTGCATAACAGTCTATATGTCGTTGTTTAGATTCATATGTTCTGTCTTACTCCTCTCGTCCCAACACGATAACCAAAAATTTACCTTCCCCATTATCGAACAGCTTATGCGGTACAACAGCTCCCCCTAACCCGTACAATCTCAGATTCACGTTTCCCACATCGATTAAATATGAAGTACTCTCGTCAAGAATAAATAAGTTTCGAATTTCATATTCTTTCATCCGAAACTTCTCCAATACTCTTACATCCTCGCATGCTCCCCAGACAGTGTAGACAGGGACATTCAGTTGACAGGAACCGTCGAGAAATTTGGGAAATTCAGATAATAGTGGCTCTTCACTTTCCCTAATCTGACGACGAACTTCCTCGTCGGTGGAGTTTGCGAGTTGGGCACGAAGTGGGGCTTGTATTAGTGTAGAATATAATATTATGTGACGAAGTGTTCTAGTTTGTTGTCGAATTAGTACAAAAAGCATGAGAAATTAAAAAATTGGAGTCAGATTAATCGACACTGCAAATTGTAAGGAAACATACCTATCGCTGATTCTTTCTAAACTTGAGGTCTCTAATATTAAAAAAAAATAATTCAGTGTTAGATATTTGTTAAAAAATACGAATCACGACATTTCAGTCGATATTAGGAGGCCAGTTCAGAAATATAATGAATGAGCCACAATCAATTGAATTCATACCATAAAAATAAAAATCTCCAGAGTGAATTATAGCTGTCGCGCCAGTTTGCTCGGCGAGAACATTAAATTGCGAGATGTTTCCTGTGATCCGTTTGCACGTAAGAAATGTGAATACGAAGACTTATATTGCACAGATTCACGCTCTAGTTCTTCCAATTGGACTCTGGTATTCGAAATCAATCCTCACCCCGCACATCGGCTACACATAAGATCTTTCCCCATTCGTGACTGATGGTGTTAAGGATTTTTGGAGTGCTAAGTGGTAGATTTGTCGTATTTACAGAGATTCCGTTTGCGGGTCGTACATTGGTGTGATTCGTAGCAGATTGATCGTAACCGTTATAAGTCGGTGGACCTTGCAGAACAAAACAAAAAGTTTAGTAAGGTAAAAAATGAGATGAGAAGTAAAAAAGAGTTGAGCAATTACGCATCAGGCTTCCTTTCGACAATACTAATCAAAATACAGTAATACAGATCCGTAAGGTTTATATAAATTACGGTTTAACTATTTCTATCTGATCCGTAAGTTGATCAATTGTTGTTAAACCAACCAGACAAAAGAAAGGGCAACACCAGCTTCTAATATCAATTTATTTACAAACAATTGAGCAATAATATCGACGATAATGAAGATGACGACGCCAACAACAAACTCCTTCTCAAACCCCGCAAATCTCATCATCAGTTGTTCCGCCCATCTCCAAAAGTATATCTGCACGTATTACCATTGGACATACGTGGCTGGGAAGCGCTGGTCGTTGATGCCGGTTGATCGTACATGTAATCTTGAGGTGGCGGTGACATGTCAATTGGCCAGTGATTGGTGTGATCGTAGTTGGATCCTGATTGGTTTTTTGGTGCAAAGACAGACAGTGATAATATAACGGAGATTTGAATAAATAATGATATTATGTGGTTTGAAGTTAAGAAAAAACTTTGATAGAGTAACAAATAAGTAGTCCGTGTATGAGCAATAGTTGTGGAAGCTGTTATTACCACGATCAGATTGCATATTGGGGATCTCGCTCTACTCGTTGAGTGAGATGCAGTCTATTTGGGGTAAGGTAAAGAGACAATAAAAATAATTATTCTATTCTATATGAATAAGCGGACGGAGTGAGGAGGAAACGATTAGGTGTTTAAAGAGATATCACTGCTAATTAGAAGAATGTCAATGACGAAAGTATAATACGGAGTGGTTTAATTAACTCCGATTCCTATTGCTGCTAGTACTGTCTTAATTCTATTATCCATGTAAATATTGTTCTCGCTTTGATATATTTATACGCACCGGTTGCGGGAATTCGTGTTTCTTAAAGCAAGCGTTCTTCCTGTAACTTTAGAATAGTCGTTACAGGCTGAAAGATGGGTAAGAACTACCTTTCCGACGCGCAACAGTCTTTCCTAACAAGAAGAAATAGGCGAATACCGTGTAACCACTGGGGAACTACTTTTTCTTATCACCGTTGCTCGCTCTGTTATTTTCCCAGAAAGGTGTAGCACAGAAAAGATATACATGCTAAATTCGATCAACGTGTCATGTTGCACGTCTTGTTTTGATTGCTTATGTGTCAAATTTATGATACTTATAATACGCTAGAATTTAATTGGTTATGAAGATTTAAAGTTGTTAAAATCGATACTAATACGGTTTCCCAAAAGACTTGGATTGCAAGAGTGGGCAAGATGATCAATGGTTATGCCCACGCGGGCATTTGCCAGGACCGTTAACAATGTAAAAGAGCTTCAATTGTATGCATTTTTATCGAACCCAAATCTGGTTGCAGTTGCTTAGAGAGAATTTAAGACGTTTAGAATAGAAATTTCCCTTTTAGGCATTATGATCCTCAACTTTTGTAATTGCTCAAGATATGTCACTTGTAATAATATTAAGTCCAAAACTGGTCAAAATACTTTATTAAATATCCAAAATTGGTTAGAAAGAATGAAGAACACCTTTCTATACTACGCCAACCATTGTAAGATTAAATAAACAGTTTGCTATGAAAACAAATAATCAAAAAAACTCTGTTCGGGAACTTCGATCTGTTGCCCCGACTCGAATCCGTAAACGCATGCTGGATGACAGACGTATGTCAAACGACGACCGTCGGTTGAATTTTTGCCTAAAAAATTATATTTACAGAATAGTAACGTAAGACGAAGTGAATTTAGAGATGTTGGTGTTGGATAATCTAGCAACGTTCAATATAGAGTTATGCTATAGCAAATTCTCCTTGGAACCCATACTAATACTTACTAAATGAAACAACATCGTAATATTGACACATAAGATGCACAACCCAGCGTGAGAATTTATCTTCGATATCCAGAATCAGCAAACCATCATTGTTTGCTATACTAATCACTTCTTCCCACGTGCCACGTTTCTGACGATAGACCACATCTCCAACGTCGCTTCCGTCGCTTTCATCGTCTCCATAATCTACATCATCCACCAAAATCCAATCGGTGGAAATACCTTTGCTATTGCTCAATTCGGCGGTTGTCTTGCTATTTTCCATCCGCTTGTCTTTTCCATTAAATTGACGCCTTTCGTTCTCGTCGGACTTTGTTCCATCTTTGACTTTCTTCTTTACTTTTGTTCTCATTTCCTTCCCTATTCTAATCTCTTCCTTTGCATCAGCATTCGAACCGGATAGAAACGCCGTCAGTTTCTCTTCATATGTCTTGACAATTCCTTCGGGATGGCTCTTCCTTAGTCTTTTCCGTGTAGATTTCCCCAAAACATTCTCTTTGTTATCTCTAGTACGCCTCTTACATTCCGGTTCGTGAGGGAAGTAGCCAAGATCGGCAAACATGGTGCAGAAATGATCAATCATGGCGTCATAGTAGAAGTGAAACGTTGACATTTCATGAGAATAACCGGGTGGAGCAAGATCAGTTGGGTCGAGAATTGCAAGTGGATGATAGGCAAAGTTATCTACACATAATTAGGGGAAAATAGAGATAATAGGAAGACGCTTTTAACAGAGAGTTAACAGGAACAAGACGACTGGTGGAGAATGTGTAGCTGATATGTAACATTCTAACCGGATAGGTCTCTTTACTAACTTTATCGGCTTTCTAACGGTAGCAGAGAGAATTAACGTAACAGTAACTGATAAAGGTGCATCTATCATTCGTTCGGCGTGCGGATCAACGGACTAGACCCTGTCAATCGCCTATTCCTGTTCATTTCTTGCAGTGGCAAACATACTCTTCTTGTCTTCTCATTTGCAATTCTGACTTCTGTTACTTATCACTATGATTCCTAATTATTCTCATCTCTTGGCTGCCACTTACTATTATCGTGTCTATTCCGTCTTCTCGAACCGTCTTTTCCAGGACTTTCCCTTCGAGCAAGAGAGTCTCTCTGATGGAAATACCCTCTTTTCTTACGGGGTTTCTTAGGCTTAATAGTGCATACCTCTTCTGGACGAATGTCTTGGTTGAGATGGTCGCAAGTGGATAGACTTGAGGGAGTGGTGGTCGTTGCCGGGCGGGCTTGGTCTAGCTCAGCGGTAATAGCCATAACAGTCGAGAAGTTGAGTTTAAGGAGTAATGTGCACTTTATAAATACGTTCAAAGAGGGCTGTTGAGATGTGACGGCTGTCAAGAGAGAAGAGTGACATAGTGTGGAAAGATAAGCCTTATGTCACACTCCAATGTGCTGCGGTATACTGTATACCAAACTACACCGAATTTCAGGGGGTTGAACTCTGTTCACGCGAACAGGACACTGCATGAGAAGTTGTATGAACTAACAGCGAATTCTTCTTGAATACCGGTAAATCAGTACGGAAAGAGAAGACAATTCCACAATTAAATCTAAATGTGTTTTAAGTGCAGGGCATGCTCATAATGATGCCATCAAACCAGCCAATTGCTTCAACTTTTTGGTCGTCTATTGATAGCAGTAAAAATATAGATATCGGAGAATTTTCTATATGAGAAATTGATCGTACTTTGAATAACTGCTGTAATTACTACTTTCTCCCTACTCTTTTCTAACATTAAAACCTTATCCTCTTTGTTATAATACGACTACGGAAGTCGAGACATAATTACCCGTTCCTTGATGAAGGAAGAAGTATTTTACTAATAGAATGTATTGTCGGCGCCAAAATTTATTATTAATTAGGTTAGTAGATCAGAGCCAATAGCCTGTTGTTCCTCATCATTACTCAGGATGATGACATACATTCAAGTCACATTGGTATATGCCTTTTTTTTCTTAACACATATTAAGCTTCCACGTAAAATTCGCCCGTTTTGTCAGTCAAGTGTGAAACCTCGATTGTATGGGATGTTTAGCAGGCATACTATATCCGAGTCCTATTAAACACAGGCGAGCTTATATCATAACTAACAAGGGGATATTAACCATAAACAATATAAATCATTCCAAAAAAGATACATTTGATCTTATTTTTCATCCTGCCTCGAGAAGGATGCTCAGAATATCTAAGATAATATTTATGTTTGGACCTGATACAAGTTATACTATAATACTATTACATACTGGTACAGACCTGATCCAGGTAAAATTTGAATTTGTGAAAAGATAATATTTCAATGACTAATTTTCTAATAGTCCTTTTTTTTAGTTGCCTCAGTACGGCCGATATCCCCCATACCCCCCATCGACATTTCCGTGAAAATGTTGCGGTTGATTCATCGGATATTCTTCCTCTCCCAAGAGCTCTTTAACCTCCCATACGTTAGTTTTACTGCCAACAGAAAACTCCAAGTCTTCTTTGGTGATCGAATCCCAGTACTTGTACACCATCATCACCGCAAGCAAAGTGCAAATAGTCCCAAAGAACAGTCCATCGATATAATGTTTGACAGTATCGCATATTCTGACAGAGAGCACGTAGAGCGTCACCTGGCCCACGGCATAGAATACGGTACCAAATGCAATGTCACCAAGTGGCCAACGGTCATCAAGAGTATTGAGAACAAGGATAACTTGCAGAATTATATAGATTATGAGTGCAGCACCATTGAAGCCGAACATGACAATCCAGAGGGGCATTGGTTTAAGCGCGTTGAAAGGCCCAATGTTTTCGAATGTTGCTAGTGCCAGGAAAGCAACTGCAGCAAAGACTACGAAAGACGATATACGAATTGTCTGGACACGCAGATAAGATATACGTTAACGGATTTTTGTATGTGATGCGTAATGCGTTACAAATAACGGTTCACTGCAAATATAATAAGATGTCGAACTAGGGTTATACTTTTAGCTTACCCAGAGTGATAATGGTGTTCCATCCTCGGCAAATTGGAATCCAACGAATCCGTTGAAAAGTAAACACCAGAAGGTAGCTGAGACGACACCAACATGTGCGGCAGTAAAGTACTAATAACGAACAAGCGTCTTAATCAGTCTATCCTTTATCATAAACTTTTTTTTTCTGATTGCGCTATCTTATACTCACGGGATAGACTGTAGTAGCTGTTGGGATGAGGCCCGATATAAGGAGCATTTCTAGTATTGTCATTATCATGTATAAATAAAAAAACATGACAATCTCCTTTCGACCTATCGTTAAGACGGGAAATTGATTAGTCAAAATTCGACAACCGAAGAGAAGAATAACAAGATCAATCGCCATTTGACTCTTTGCGGAAAAGGCGAGAAATGATCTTACCAACTGCAGTGTATTTGGATTTAATATGATAAATCATGATACCCGTCATGAGCAACGCAATTATATAAATGATCACAGTGGCTGGAACAATATAAGGGAAAAGTTAGAATACAGTTTCGTCCCTCTTTCCCTCTAAAATGCTTTCGTTTAACTGTAGCGTCCCCTTTTCTCCGAGATATACATTTCCACACTTGCTCAACTAATTCCTTACCCATGAGTCTTACCCGGCTGAAAAATCAATATCCCGGCTATTTCTACATTCCTTGAATAACATAACGGAGCTATGCCGTCTGGATCTCCAACAAGAGGGCAAACTGACAGAGATACTGTCTCGCAAATATGTCTAAAATCACCAATTTGTAGCATAATTTACAGATTTGTACGTTGGGCGTTCGATGAAGGAGTCGGAATGTAAACTCTATGGAGGTGAGATATTGTATAAACGTATACTTGGAATAAAAATACGGATATAGGTATGAACTAAGGAATTTAACAAAAGAAAGACAGAGTTCACGAATGGTGAGAACAACCAACTGGAGTTTCTTCAAGACCACCAACTGCTTGAAGTAATAGAAATAGAGAATTCCCATTACACAAGCATATACCTAATTTATTGTTGCATGGTAAATGGACGAGCATGAGCCAATCGCATAATGTGACACTACGATATAAATAGGAGCAATGTGTTTGAAATTGCACATCATTTATTATTATGTGATAATAGCGAAATAAAAATGTCCGATTTTGAATCAGACTGAATTTCGCTACGGGGGACCAGAACAGATCTACCTTTATGACCTATCCCTCTTTAAGCATTCCATAGTGTCTTGCGACCAGCAATGAGATCATCGCAGGGTCAAACTCACCTGCAATATTGACCCCTAGATCATGTTAATTTAATCAAGCCATGATTTTAGTCAGCAATTCGGAAATTCAATAAGTATTGCCAAATGTAGAATTTCATTATTGTGATGTTATCGCGATTGGATTAGCCCGCGTAACACATACAAGGTTATTACTATTACGGTACTTCATCCGTCAACAGGTAGAGAAACAAGCGCTGCAGATTCTGAGACACAATAGCAAACAAGTCGAGCGACAAGTAAAGTAGCTTGGAATTTATTTTTATTTTATTTTATTTTATTTTTTGACAAGAAAACCTTTAGCTGGGGATTTTTGTTAAGGAGTAGCAATCGTTACATTTGCGAGTGACTTCATTGATAAGTATGAAAGCTCGTTAGAATGACGGTAACACTGTTTCATCTCCGATAGAAATAATTGGGGGAAGTCACGTGAATTGTAGATTGCTTTAACTTTTTTAAGCATGTGACGGGACGGAAGACGCTTGTTGTCAAACAATTTACAGCGACAAGTAATTATAAAACCAATTGCTGGTCGCGTCATACTGAATTAATCATTTAGCCACGGCGAGCGTTTGGGCCCGATGTGAATTGATAATTATGCAAATAAAGAATGGCAATCTGTCTTATTGTGGTAAAATACAAAACAAATCGCACGAATTTTGTTTTAAGATTAATCGTGAAATTAATCGAAGCGTGTACAATGACCCAAATTTGTTATGCAAGCAGAGTCTAACGTGATTCTGCATTCATATTGCGAAACAAAATTCATCATGTGTGTTGGATTTTATAAAGGCGATTTTTTGTAAAGCAAGCGCTCTTCCGCAGTGAAGACCCTCGTTCTCATCATTGCGTTTAACAAACTTTGCTTGTTTTTTTTTCAAACCAAACAGAGCAAACTGCTACACTTTTTCGGTCTAGTTGACTGTGCAACATGTAATTTATTTTATAAATATTTTTCTGGTGAGAATTCCTTAATTATCGAAAACTAATTAAAGGATGAGAAACGGTAAATTGCGGGAAAAATCAAGACGTTTAAAACGCATTCAATTAATACGCGTTGTAATTGTAATTACTAGTTTGCTCATGACCTTTCAATTACAAAGAATGATTGGTCTTAAATAGTCCAATTTAGTAATAACGCACTTGGTCATCCTTTTCAAATGAGGGCAATTAGCTCTTTCGAGAAGCAATGTCCACTCAAGTTATATTAAACTACCGCAATGGAATAGCTAAATAGTAAATATGTGCATGTAGTAATTAACAAGCCAGAATGTTTGAATCTTTCCAAATGTCCGAAATAAGAAATACTAGAATCACTTGTCAACTACTTCCTGTAGTAACAGTCTTTCCTGCCGTCGAGATATCTATGTTCGAATTAGGAAACGTTTACAGTCTTTTTAGCGACAAGTTGTTTATATTTGCGACCATCCATGCTGCCCAGATGATTGCATTTTAACTTTATAACAGCTGATTTTTAGACTATCCCGCATATCAGAGTACTCGACGTCAAATACACGAATCTTAACTCTGTTAAGCCTCTTTATCTCAAAGGGCCCACTAAAACTAAAACTACAAGATTAATGACTGTGTTTGTTCTGGTAATAAAATGATTGATTGCATTACTTCAAATAATATTGTCACTAACTGCAACAGATTACTTGTTCGCACTCGAAAGCGTTGAACCAAACAGACGCGTTGTATCGCATTGGTTATGAGAAGACGACGAAATAATTAAAATATTTATAAACCATTAATAAATTACGTATTTTCTATGCTATCTAAGGAAATCCAATTGTTAAACACCGTCACCCTTTTGCACAAAGAATTTGCTGAAAAATCTATTCTGCTGACCGGCTTGGCCAATATTAATACCATGCTGTGTTCTTTTCCCAGCTCTACAGAAAGAAATACTCAGTTAACAACTTGTGTCATGTTGGCTTCATAAAGATCAGTTAGTTACATACTTTTCTAACAAAAGAGCAACATCTGCCGGTTCAAGTAAAGAATACTTTTTGTTTCTTGTTGAGGGATCCATATATTCATCTGGGTTCTCCGACTCCAGTAGTGATACAATCTACGTGAAAGTTGTAAGCATATATAAGCTCTCCGCCTTCAAACAAATATATACATATAAAAACTTTGGTCCATTCTGCCAAACCTGTCTTAATTCCAAGAATGCGTCTGCTATGTTTGGATCTTCCAATCTACGCGCAAAGTGTTCCAAGAACGTGACATCGATGTCAAAATTCCCGACGCCATTAGCATTTATTCGTTTTACTTCTGGATCCATAATCCGTCGCTGTCAATAAACAGCAAGTGTGTCAATATTCGCCTGAGAAATAAGACGGCAGATAATAAAATATTTACTTACTCGAAGTGCTGTAGCGAGGTATCCTAATGCTCCGAAATAGATAAGCGTTTTGATGTCTACCGGAAGGTTGTATAGAGTTGATGCGATTACGGTTGTCAAAAAGCCAACCATATCTACAAAAGAATGTATTTGGCGAGTGAATAAACTTTTTACTACCCAGTGATACATTGTATTTTTTGAAATACCTTGCAAATATGGACTCGGTTGTGTCTGCATTGTAGATGGAGCCCTAGAAGTCATAAACAGATGATTGCGTGTTAGTAAGTGACTTCAAACACATAAAATAAAGCCATCCACTCTCACAAAAAGATCAGTTACCGACCAATCATAATCAGCCAAGTCCAGGAAATCATCAATCTTGGAATTAACTAGTTCATAGATCCGCTTCTCTGCCTTCTTTCTTGTTGTACGGAATGCTTCGGCCGCCTCCAAATGTATCTTACCGCCACGATGAGATGACCTTTAGAATAAAATATAGTTAACATCAATATCAAAGTGTTTTCGTACACGTCATTACTGAGTAGAATCCTCTTACGCATACCTTCGCTCTTTCAATAATTCCTCCAATTCGCTACACATGTTCTCAAAATACTCCAAATTGATGTTAATCTGAACAATTTGAGTCAAATTGGTACTTCGAAGTTTAGCGAGAAGCACACCGTTGACATGTTCGATCAACATGTCGTCAAGAGCCTAATGAAAATTTACGATAATTATCAGAATTAAAGATAAAAGACACTTGTAGCAAGTATGTGAATTGGTGTACCTCTCTCACGATATCATCGACCTGAGCATGGATTCGAGAGGCATCTTCAGCAAATTCATAAAATTGAGAGACAAAATTTTTTATGTCTAGACAGCATGAAGGATACGCTTGTGAAAAGGGAAGACTTCTTGGGTATCTATTGGAAATCAGAGGTTAAAGCATAATGTATATACATGTAATAACAATAAATTTTTGGTCGTATGTCATGTAGATCAACAGAGAAAACGTCTAATAATGTACTTACCCCTGCCCAGTTATTCGTGAATCCTCAGTAAACCAGCAAGCATCAAGCACAGCTTCGTATTGTTCGGGAGAGTCAACTATCATTGGCATATAGTCATCTTCCAACATAGTCTAAATAACACTAATTTTAGATAACCAAGGTTTTTTAGGACAAAATACAAGTAAACAACATACTTGATGAAAATCGTCTGCAAACTTTTCTTTGAGTAATTCAGAGTAACGTTGAAAGACAAAAAGGTGCAAATCCATATACTTTTGTACATTATACGAATATTCCTGACATACCAAACAAACATGAATATAATTAATAAAGTACTTTTCACGAAACTCTCGCCCTTGCGTACTTTCTCTCTCTCGGGTATATTACCTCAAGCGTTTGCATGAACACTGTCAACTCTTTCTTTACTCGGCTAAATAGTTTAGACTCGATACAACCATATAATGCGGCATATATAATCTGTACCGCTTTGGATGTGACCGTATCCCATAATGCGTCGACTTCACTCGATGAACGAAAATTTTCTATCGACCGCAAAATAACTCGTTCGATTACGAAAAAACCCACAATATCTTGGAAAAAGGCTATTAGGCCTGAAGCGTCGTTATCTTTTAAGACAAATGAAGTGGAGAGAACAAGGTTTGCTTGGGCCTTTTAGAATTGCAAGGAAATCGTATGTGGTTTAGTTGAAACAAGAAACAAAAAAAGCATGAGGCAGATTTGCATAACATACCCTTCGATCTTCTTCGTAGTTGGATTTTAGTTCCTGACTCTTGCCGAGCTCTTCGTTTATGTGCAGACATTGATACAATGGTTTAAAATCAATCTGTACATATTCATTATTGACAACATTGACTAGTCAAAGAGTTCAAAAGTTATGTTTGTCATTCAATCTCGAGAGGAAGGAGGGGAAAAAAAGTAGTGCCTTTGTACGAGTTACCGTCACATACATTCTTTATCCTCATTCAGTACAAGTTCGATAGGTGAATTGATGGCGACATGTCTCAAGTCCGGTTCCTGCGCAACTTTCACTCGCCATCGTTCTTGTCTCGTGACCAGTTGATCCATGGCAAGTTTTCCTACTTGACGAGAGACTTGGCGTACTCTATAAATTGTTGATTGCAATATTGTTATAGCTCATGATGATAGATTTATCCTCAATATGAACATGTATTACTGTACTCAACTTGAAAAGCCATTCTTTCATTTCCTTAGTGACTGCATCCTTGATACTATTCTGGGTAACGGGTATAGATTCCTCTGATTGATTCATTGAATAAACAATCCGTAAGATATATGATAAATGTGACAGAATGATTTGCAAGTCGTTCCGACTTACGCATATGCTTTGCAAATTCATATTGTATTACGTTGCGAAGGTGGACTGTCTGGAGTTCCTCTAACGTCTGAAACAAGAATCCATATGAGTCGCAAGAATATGTATTTTGGAGTATCCTACAAAAGTTTAGTCGATACATCATACCCTTAATGCTGAATAATATTTTTTCTCTTCAATTAAGTTGTTGGCTCTGTTTGATAAATCCAGGATATGCAGACATTTCTGTAGCGTTTCAATTGCATCATCGATATTCTTTTGTATCTTGCGTGTCTGAATTAATTCTTTTTTCTAAAAGAAAATTTATCCTTAGCTATTTCTAGCACGTAAATACTTAAACAAATTAGTGGAAAAAGTTTCTCACTTTTGTTGTTAGTTTTTTCCCTGATTTCTGCACGTCGTAGTTGAGATCGATTATTTTATTCTTCAAGTTGACAGTGCCTTGACGTACTTTGAGAAGTTGATCGACGGATTGGACGAATTCCTAGGAAAAAAAAGTCAATAAATGCTATAGGCACTTTTTTCTTGGGTTCTCGCATCATATGTTTTTGTTACCAATCATACCAAAAATAACAAACCTGATAATTACTATTACACATTCGCTCAATTTCGCCCTCCTTCTTCCTTTCAAATGCCGTTAGTTGATCAAGAAACGCCTCCTGTCTGCCCGAATCATAAATACTCTTTATTATAGGACCTAATTGCTCCAAGTTCTCATTTTCAGAATTAAGTTCTGCAGATAAAACCAAGGATTGAAGTTGTTGTTGGTCGACATCCATCGTTACAGTTTTGAGATTGCGAGTGTCTGGGATATAAATAGTATGTAAACTGATTTGTGAAATTTATTTATATACTTGCTATATACGGATGATTGTATCTCATGGATACTGCATTTGCTTGACCAACATGTTTATAGAATTTGGTATCAAACATTCCATCCGTGTTACCCTTAAAGTTTGATGCTGATATATATACTCTGCATTCTTTGTCCATACTCATTTATGTTCATTTTATTACGCTAAGAATGAGTTTTTTCAATAATAAAGCGGGAGTGACTGCTTCGACATGGGGGAGCATGTTGAAACAGGCGATAAACACAGTGGAGAGCAAAATTGACAAGGCTTTAGACATAAGCTCAGAGAGTGCGTAAATTGATTTTCATTTTATTCTTGCAATTTCAATTTGATTTATATTCCAACGCTCTGAATAAACCTGCCAACAAAAGTTATTACAAATCAACAGATGCTGAATATCAAGGGGAAGTGTATATTGATCCTATGATGGGAATTATAGCGACTATAGACAAGCCAGAAATACCAACAGTTGAGAACGATAATTCAGCGTCGTCAAGAGAGTTTTCGCAAGAGCAACAAGAAACACAAGATTTGCAGGCAAATGCTGCTACATCAAGTTCAGCGGAGAATTTGCTTCCAATTGGCACTCCCCCAATATCGCCAGCAGTAAATCCATCACCAGACACACTCATTCCTTCAACACTGTCAACAGTGGATGTATCACCGAGTGTTCCTACCGCCGCACCCACTCCTTCGCCACCTCCCCCACCTCCCCCTACCCCTTCAAAAATGCCTGATACGGCACAATATAATACAAATGCTGTAGTATCCAACCAAACAATAGATGCCAATTCTGCGGCCACACGCACTTCATTATCCGATACGTTAGTAACGCTTAAGCAGATACTCGCCACTCAAGATGACAGCGCATGTGAAAATAACATTGAATCGTTTTCGCACAAATCAAGCGAATCACATGAATCGCATCGTTCGATTCAGACAGATACGATTGCCTATACTGGAGCGGAGGAATATAATAATGAGGATACTGGTATGGATTCTGATGAGATTGTCGATAAAAACAGTGGATATGAGTCGTCTGCTTTATTGAATGCTAGTGATGAAGATACACTCGATGAGAGATCGAGTCACGACGATCTTAGACGTAGGAGTAAAACATCTAGTATTATTAGTGATGGAATTGCATGGTGGAAACATGATTCTGCTTTTTACATTCATTTTGCAGATAGTGAGGATGATGCTGATGCTGATAACAATGATGATAATAGAGATAACAACAGCGTTGACGATAATAAGGATGACGTTGATGAGACAGCTGCAAGACATTATGAAGAAATTATTGCAACTAAAGAACAACGACTGCGCGATGTAGCGGAACAGAATATTATCTTGAATAAGCATATGGCAGAGTTGCGAGGCAAAATAATGGAGATAGAAGAAAATAAAGATGCCATGTTGAAGATTGCTAACAGCAAAATTGACGACTTGGAAAAGTCATTGGAGCAGGCTAAGGAGGTAAGCAAACAAACAGCCGATCAAATATAGTGGTAAATTTACTCCTAGTTAAGTGGCGTTGAGTTGTCTTTTAACAAGTATTGTTTCAAACGCTTAGGCTGCCCAAAAAGTACAACAATTAACTGTTACCGTAGACGCATCGCAGAAAACAGTTGAAAATCAGCGAAAACTACTTCTTGAGAAAGATGAACAAATAGCCAAATTAGTGCAAGCCGGTATTTATCCTACATTCTCTTTCACTGAACCAACACATATTTTAGCATTATTCATATATGCAAATTTTTTAATGTAGGCGAGAAGAGTGAATATGATAAACGAGTAACGATTATTATATACCTGCTGCATTTGTGGTCAACACGATGTTTATGTGTGTAATCTAATATTCATCGTTCTCTTCTTACTAGATTCAAATAGAAGAACTTCAAAAAGAATTGGAGCAATTACGCACAGAATCAGGAACATCTGAGGATAATTTAAGAATAGAAGTGAGTATTACTGTTATCCTTTATCATTAGTCAAGCGTAATGCTCAAACTGTGTATCATGATTTAGCTTCGTGAATTGCGATCAACGCTCGTAGAATCGGAAGAGAGAGCTGGTAAACAAGAAGACGCTTTAAGAAAGGAGATTGAGGTTCTTTTATAATGTTTTATTGTGGTATTTCTCTTGCTTTGAATAGCGTCAGAACGACATGTACTAATAGAACTTAATTCCACAGTCTCTGCAACATCGACTACAACTAGCCGAGTCTGCCAAGCAAGAAGCCAAAATGGAGGAGTGGGAAACGGAAAGAATACAGCTAATTAGGCGGATAGACGAACTTCAGACACAGCACGCTTTATCCAAGAAGAATTGGGAAAAAACAGAGATACGGTTAGCATTTGGTTAAAACAGGAGCTAATGGAATATAGTTTGTTTATAAAGCATAAGCATTTATGACAAGTTGGAATTTTCATTTGATATTTAGATTAAAATCTCAACTGGCCGAACGCGAAAATGAACGTGAACGTCTGACTAAGAAGGAACAAAGCGTAAAAGCCGAACTCACTGAATTGGTACGATATCATAACTTTACCTTTCTCGTTCCTTACGTATTAGCTACAATTTCTAACGAACGTCAAATATCTTGTTCCCCTTCTTCATTCTAGTCGTCAAAATTAGAGTCGACTTCTCTTCAGCTAATATCGGAACGCAACGAAGTCTCTCGTTTAGACACACTTGTTTCCACCCTTCGCAGCCAAGTCTCTGCTTTGACGTCGCAGAACTCGTCTCTATCTGCTGATTTGTCATCACTCGCAGAATCCCATTCAGCCGAACTCGCCACTCTTGCTGACAAACACTCTAAAGAATTAAAAGAACTGTTACAATCAAAAGATGACGAATGGGAAGCTAAACTCAAGAGCGAGACCGAAAGAATAAAGAAGGACTATGAATGTGAAAAAGAGAAAGAGAAACGAAAATCGAATTTGACACTCGATTTTAGTGCTCGCAGTCCCACTTACAATCTACGATCTACTAGCGAAACTTCTTTAGGAATATACAAGAATGATGGTTGGAGTGGTGGGAGGGGAGAGGATGGGGCGCTTACTGGAATCAAATCGCCAATGCTATTTAGTCCGGTATCGAGTGCAAGGAGTAGCATAGACGGTGGGAATGGTGTAATGGGTAGCGTGGTCATGTTTGAGAAATTGAATAATAATGTAAAACAGTTGGAAGCTCAGGTTGCTAATCTGCAGGCACAGTTACAAATTACTACTAAAAATCGAGGTTAGTGGGGGAGGATGTAACAAAGTCATATTCGATTGATTTGTATTTTGAACACTTTTAAATTATATCGTTTTTTTGTAACTCTGTAGACGAATTGTCAGACGAGCTGGTCCGAGTGACGATGCAACTGGAAGAACTGTAAGTATGATAGCGTTGTAATACACAGATTTACGTGATATCAACCATAACCAAACTCGATTGTTTTTATCTTCTTAGTAAATCAAAATCGGCAAACTATGACATTTTATCGGAGGAACACACGGAATTGAACGAACGGTAAGAAACGCGTATCTTTTTGATATTCGTACATCCGCATGCAGAGCCAAACGATAACACGTCCTGTCACTTGTTTTGCTTGTAATCAGGTATAATACTCTTTTAGAATTGCTGGGGGAGAAAACCGAGGAAGTAGAGGAATTGCAGGCTGATTTGGCAGATGTTAAGCAAGCATTTAGAGCTCAAATTACTGAACTATGTGCCAAAGCCGATCAGTCCAAGAAATAATATAGACATTATTAATACAACTCTACGGACGATGATCAAAATTATAACAACATAGAAATTATCAATTGTGCGTAAGAACGGCATGTAACCTGTCTAATAACTTAATAATAATAATAATAATATGGAGCGGAATATGACATCCACTGAAAATTTTACGAACGCTTTAATTTATCTTTGTAATAAATTCTCGATAATCCGATCAACGATTTCTATTACGGTAATTACAAATTTATAATAAACCGATCGCAAAGTATGTATTAAAATGTATTGCCCATACGATCAATAAAACGATACGTTATGGAAGTTTATTGAACCAATCCAACAATTGAATGAGTACTAAGAGTACACAGTTTTATATTGTCAGGTATAAATTCAACATAAGAAAAAAGCATGTCAGGTCTTTTCGCTTATTCGAGACAGACAGTATATAACTGCAGTTACTATTTTCGCTTTCATAATAGAAGTTTATCTGAACCAATTTTTTCTTTTATTCTGATACGATTGCATGAGATATTAGAATTAAGGGACGTTTTATAATCAGTAACAAACACGTAAGTTTTTAAAGTGTTTCTTGAATACTTTTTCTACACTTTAATCAAATGCATTCTGGGGGATATCCGCTTGTATAAATTTTATATAATATTTAAAATGATCATCAGTTTACACTGCAAGATGCTTCATATCCGATCTCGTGAATAAAGTAACCCTAACCCTAACCCTTTATTTAAATATAAAATGTATGAAAAAAACATGCACTCATGGCTACACTCACCTTGCTAAAGGTATTCCTCACTCCTCAAAGTTTACTAAAAAAATCTTTCGTTTTCGGAAAATCTTTATTGTCGGTATCAGTACTATGTGATAATCGCTTGCCTGCAGTTTATATTACACAAAAATATGTATGAAAATCATGTAACACAAATATTGCCAAGACTTTTAATATAAAAGTAATTCTAATACCAATTTAAATTTCACGGTATTTTTTCCGAACAATAAAGGTTTTCGGAAAACGAAGCAAACGTTCAATATTTTTGGCCAGCATGTGTAGTGCGCCTGCATTCCCTTGCCAGAACAAAGACCAATAACCCGAATCATCATCAGCTTGTGTAAACAATAACGGTCGGTCTTGTATGAAAGTTTTGTAACTGACAAGGATAGATGTAAAAGATTGTGGGATTGCCAAGTCACGTAGAAATGTCGTCTAATCGCCTATATATGCTATTGTAACTGTAAAAGACACACTTGGGAGATCAAAATAAGGTTACGACATTTACCAATTAGCTTACGAAAGATTTCACGGCGTGGGAGAATTGAGTTGAGTTGTTTGAACATCTAATGAAAGCGATATTGCAAACTAGCCCGATCATGCAGAGAAGGGCAACGGGAAACACTGACTATAGACTTGATGGCATGAATAACACTTTGTAAATGTGAAGACGTGTTTTCAGCTAGCAATACTGATAGCTGAACCCGCAGTGTTCTCTCAAAGCCTTCAATGTTGATGGAATCTTTTTGGGCGCTTACCGGGATAGACGCATTGATAGTTAAATGACGAATAATCAAGCTTTTATTGGGTTGGGGAACGTGGCACGAATAGTCTCGAGTGTTACCAATTCACCTTTTATGTAGCTAGCAGCGTAATGTCAACATGCATCACTTTACAATGTTTTCTTGGCAAAGAACTTACCCACTCTGAAGGTATATTGAACGGTCGGGCATCAATCTAAATTTAACACCAGTTTTTTGTATGACGGTTTTGGAGTGGTATATAAAAAGGATAATCAAAAGTTTAGTCTTTACATAACTGTCTTGAGGAGAAAAGTGTCCACAACATCCCCCGTTCATTGTAAAGTTATAGTTCCTAAATCAATCATACCGATAGCAATCATCCTCATTTTCCTAGTGAACGTTTGCCAACGTGATCATGCCGAGACAACGCATTGCGTGCGAGTTTCCTTCTGTTAGGCTTCCTGACGCTAAACTGGCCGCTTGCTGCTGCTGTATTAAGCTACGGCCCGGCACCATACTAATATCGTTAATTTGGCTGGTAAGTTTGAACGCATACTGCGCTAAAAGAACTGGGCTAGACCTTAATTCACTGTACTTGTGGTGTAGGTATACAGTCTTTATACAGCATCCACTTTAATATTAGATTTCGTGGCAAATAAGAATAATGAAGACTGGTCTACCAACTGTAAGTATTCTTGAATTGGATATTGTCAATTTTTGGCGAACTGTTGTCTCTTCTTTCTCACTCGAATTGTGTTTTGCCAAACAGTTTATAGTTATTTCCAAGCATACACTCTACCGATTGCAATAATACATCTGTTAACGGCTCTTGCCTCGGCATACGGTCTATTTTTGACAGCATTTTTTGTAAGTTCTTATCTGGTATTCGTAAATTCTTCCCTCCTTTTCTTTTCCTAATCTTTCCCCTATTTTGCCTCTACCCCAATGCTAGCCCACGCCTAATAGTTTACGGCAGTACGCTTACATCGGCTACATCATAGCTTTTGTATTCTCCGTTGTGTGCTTGTTTAATGTCTGTGTGCTTTTCTTACATAAAAATCAGTTTATGATAGAATGCTCAGGAAACTTTCCGAATGGTTCTGAGATTACTGATACCGTTGCTAACGATACATGTGAGCGAGCATACAACGCCTTGTTACCACTCTCGATTATATGGATGTTGCTTATTATTATGTTATCGGTGAGTATGGGAACGGGAACAGTAATAGAGATTATGGAAGAAGACGATAATTCTCATTCATATTCGTTTGTTACTACGGATTGATTTACTTAAAATAATTATATGTCGAAATTAGGTATATTGTTCAATAGTGATTTCGGCATATGCGAGAAAAGTTGCCGAGAAAGAGGAAACTCGATCAAATGAACAACCAACACATTCGTAAAAAAAAACATATTGGCTTTTGTAATATATTTGTAGAAGAGGGCCCATTTTGCATTCAAGTAAATTAAACGTACTCGCCGTAGGCGTTCATCTTAGAACTTGCTCTCTCTTGTAACAACAACATCTCATTTATTTCTTTTTTCAGTTGATATGATCCTTGTGTTGTCCAGATATAGGTCGCTATATGCTTATTGTCTGCACAACTTAACCGTCGTCCATCTCAAACGGGGAAACCCGTTCTCCCAGATAATGAAACCAAAGACTGTCAGACGTTGTATTTCCTATAATGCATTCTTTGTCTTTTTCAGAGCTGAAGTGATCAGATAGTGTTTTCTACGATTATGTGCGACGATTATATAAAGGAAAAATGAATGTTGAATACCAGGTTACGGCGAATGTTTTAATATTGATGTTAAAGTTTTTGGTTTGTGAAAATAATCCCACACTAAACATTTTAATATTAAATATAAGGTTAGGAACATGTGTTATAAACATGCCAGCTCTCTAAAATTGTGTACCAAAGGATTACTCAACGAGCGCATGTGACCCGATCGCCAAAACGAACATTTAGCTGACACTTATAATACCTTCTCATATTTTGTTAGTGTTATTTATCATTGTTATCATTATCATTATAGTACAGGTTATTTAACTGAGATTACTAAATATAATCAACGACTATTGCTATCATAATAGCCACGAGTTTTACCTGTATGTTTGCGACAATGTGTTAACTGGATGAAACAATGGGAAGTCAGAGGTAATGAACAAGTGAACATGGCAAATATTCTTGAAAGAGAGAAAAAAGCCAATATGAACATATCATTATTTAATAAAGTTATTATTATGTGATTTGACTGTAATCGACTTGACAAACATGCGGGCATGTAATCCATTGATGAAGAGCTTTTTGAAAATTCCTGCCATTAACCTTATCCCATCTTCTGAGTAATAGTAATTGAATTCATCTATTATTCTTATATGGTTCCTTATTTAAAGTAGGCTTTATTCATGCTTATTATGATTGCCGCGTTCAGCAAATGTGAATCGCGTGACATTTAACCTGAAAATTTTTGTGTGGCGTCAAAGTTCAACATAAACCGAGTGTTTCTTAAATCATAAAAATACAATAGACATGGATCAACTAATATCAGAATATGCCTCAACAAGTGAAGACTCTGATGATCAAGCGATTCTCAAGCGCTCCAAGCAAGACAAAGCCTCCACACAAATAACAAAGCGACCCAAGATCGATCTTGCACCGGAAGTCAACTTAGCGGTATGCTAATCTACTAGCAGGCTCACGATGTTGCCTAATACACCTCTTTACCATAGTTCATCCTGTTATTCGTTCCTTTCCCTCGCTCATCCTTTACAAATCCTTCATTGACATTAGTTTTCGCTGTCCCACTCCATAGGATCAAAGACTCTCCGATGCCGTCTACACGAGACCCACCGACACTGAGATAACCTTTAACATTCCATATGAAGATCTTTCTCAACCTGTAACCGGACCTTCTAATCCATTCTCCACGCGTGTGATGAACCAAAATGTCTTAACCGGACACGTGGAGGAGCAATCGTATTCAGAGATAGCATTCAAGACCCAACAGCGCACGTTTGCCTCGTTTGGATATGCACGAGATCCTACTTTACTCGAAAATGTGACCGGCGGGTCAGAATTTGTAGGTGACGTACAAAGGGCAATTGAAATGAACGGAGCCACAATCTACGATCCCGTACCAAAAAAGAACGGACCTGCACGATTGCCGAAAGGAGATCCGGCAGTGTTGGAGGGTGCAAACGCATACCAGGGACCGTGGGCTGGATACCACGGAGAGTCTATTGGTACACCAGTAGGGCCTCCGGAAGGTGCGATTAGAACTCGAGCCGAACCCGCTCAGCAATCAAAAAATCAAGTCGAAGTTGGGCAAGAGACGACTACATTTCATGGTATGTTTTGAGTGGATCAAATTCGTCTGACAGCAGTGAGTGGGAATTGAGCGAATGAGGGGTTTTTTAGATTAGCTATGACTGTTCTTGTTAATCAAAAGTATTCGTCCACGCTAGGCCAATCGGAGTATGA